AATTTTGAAGCAGTTAATTAACATATAACCTCGTGCTTCCCTTCAGCTCACACATAGTGATTAGATATAGAGGTTCTCCACTCAAAACAAAACAATGGAGAAAGAAGTCGTCTAATATTAGGAATCAAATAATCAATATTCCATGGGTACCTTTTATATTAAACTCACTAGCAAAAAGCTCATAGGAAAATATCACCAAATCCTTGGGGCATACCTCACATGGTACCCTATATTTGGGCAAGACATTAAGAGAAACAAAGTCCTTACTACCACTGTCATCTCCTTAATTTTCCTTGCCTTCACTTTGTTGTTCTCCAAAGATAATATCACCCATCAAATCATCATCCCTCATTAATGATGGGATCACTATCAAAGATAGGATGACCATCTCCATCAAAACAGTTCTAGTCAAAGATTGGATCACCCATAAAATCACACTGATCATCAAGGATTCGGGGAAGAAAATTCCCTCCCAATTACTCGTCTACTACTCGAGATGTAATCATGTTGTGCTGGATCACCAAAGCCTCCCCATGATCACTATAGGTCACTACCAGGTCCATTTCATCAACTAGCCCATCATAGTCGGGATCACCTTAAAAATAATGCTCGCTGTCCTCAGCATAAAACTCTTCAAAAAGGCAAATGAAGTTGCGATTTGGGCACTGTGATAAGACATGCCTGCTGCCCAAACAATTGTAGCACTTGATGTTGCTATTGGCACCACTTTCGGGTCGCCTGACTCCCAAAACAACTACTTTTTGGTCCATGGCACCTTGCTGGTTGGTTGTTCCAGCAAGTGAGATGTCAGGCCAGCACCCCTCATGTTGCTTTTTCTTCCAAAATCACTGCCTTGGACTGCTGTTCTATTTGCTCCATAACTCGCACCCGCACCCCACCTGTTCGAGGGTCGTTTCTGCTGAGTTTCAACCCTCTTTGCAAAGTTACAGACCTCATCATGGGTCTCATACCGCTGTGCTACCCATTCACATACCTAGCAATGGACTGCTCCCGCTCAATCGCATCACTGCAGGCAGCCAAAAGAGGAAACCCATCAGTGTAGTCCTCCGCTGGCCTATCTCCTTGGTGCAACACATGCATCTTCTGATATAAAGACTGGAAACAATTTTCAGTGAGATATATTTCCTTCATCTCTTTCCTCGTCTTATCCCACGAAACAATCTTAGGTTTTCCTATTCTTTCTCGCCTTGCTCTTAGTTGTTTTCCCACCATATGAAGCACTTTTTCTTCAATTTAATGGCAATAATGTTAATTTTTTTATTCTCTGGCACATCCTTGTAATCAAAGACCCTCTCTACTGTATTTAACCAGTCTAGAAAGTCATTGGGTTGCGACTTTCATTCAAAATCAGGGACATCTACTTTTAGATCGGTGGATTTTGAGTACCGCATATACCTCCGATCATATACCACTTCACTTGACTCATCCCCCAGAGCACAATTGTAAAAAGGTTGTACTCAAAATCAAAATCGTCCAGCACAAGCTGCTGAATCAAATGGGTAGAAAGGCTTGAATGGGGAAAAGGATCTGGAGACAAAGACGGAGGCAACGACGAGTTAGGCACTCTGGCGGAAGATTCGGGAGGGATCATTTGAAATAGTGGGGGTCAGAGGCAGGGGGTGAGTGGAATGAGGTTGCGGGTCGGAGGCTGGGAGAGGGGTGAAAAAGTAGTTGAGGGGGCAGAATGAAAGGGGGTAGCTTGCCTTCAGAACAATGGGTGACATTAAGAGCCAATCTCATTTCCAGTGGCATGGGGACAAGGCTGTTCAGGTCAGATTATTGTAAACCTGAGCCTGTAGGATTCGGAAGGGGAATGGCAAAAGAATTAGAGGGTATGGGACTAGTGGGGGAGGTCTCAGAGAAGACAAAAAGAGCGAGAGGGTTGGGATGAGAAGTTGACGGAGAGGAGAGGAATGAGGGAAAGTGCAGGTAGGAGGGGAAGTGCACCAGTTGAACCAGAGGGGTGAAGGGGGGAAGAGTTGCTTTTAGGTTTCCACCTTCTACCAGGGAGCATTGGGGTTTGTTTCTGGCATCTGGGCATTTCGAGGGATGTAGTGAAGGACGAAAGGGGAACAAGTAAAGGCAAGATAGGGGTAGCCGAGAAGGGGAGAGGGGAGAAGAAGGGAACGGGGGAGGGAGGGGGCAGGGCGAGATTGAGGAGGGTGGGGAAGAAGGAGCAGGATGGTATTGAGGCGGGTCCAAGGAAGGATGGAAGGGAAGTGAGGGGAAGGGGTTGAGGTATGCCATGATCTAGGAGAAAGAAAGGTGAGGAAGTGAAGACAAGGCGTCAAATGATGATTAGGGGTAACGGATGGAAGAAGGTGGGAAAAGGGGAGGGGAAGAGATGGGATAGGGGAGACCAAAGGGTTTATTCCTGATCCCAAGGAGGTAGAGAAGGAAGAAGAGAAGGCGATATTAGGTGGCCTAGAAGATGACGAGAGCCGAGAAGAGGTACAGATGGGGGAGTAGAGGGGCAAGATGAGGATAATAATGGAGAGAGTCTTGTGATGGGGCCGAGTACCAGAGAAGTCAAACAAAGGTGCAAGCACGAGGGAGGCATCAATTAAGGGAGAGAGAGAAGCATTTAATGAGGCCAAATGGACGACAAGCCCTGGGAATGGGAATTCTCATCTTGCGCTAAAGTGCCAGCTCTAAGAAGGGAAGCCAAAGAGACGGAATTAATACGCCTAGTGACAGGTGGCAAGAGAGCATTGTCAAGGATATGCGTGTCAACTTCAAGAGTGTGCAAGGTGGAGGAAGCCAAGACATGGGGATGGGATGGGTGGTCATATTAAATGCGCCGAAGGGAGCTTCAACTGCAGGTGGCGCGAGAAGGCTCGAAACAATGGCGCTCTCGGGTGACGAGTGGGGAATTGAGGCAGGAGGAGTTAATGCACCCTAAGAAGTGGAATGGGGGAGGGGGGGCAGGTGTGCCATAATTATGGCATTGTCAGGGGGAAGGACAAGAGGCCAGGGAAATTGGACACTTTGGAAGACAAAAGAGGAAGTGGAATTAATGCTCCCCGGTACACATAGCAGGAGGGAAGACTCCTAAAGAGACGTGTCAAAAACAGGGGAGCAAAAGGGGGGGGAGGGGGTGACCGAGACATGGGAAGGGGAAGGGGAGGCAGCAAGCAGCGAGTCACTAATGATGACGCTTTGGGATGACATGTGGGGAAAAGAATGGGAATTTAATGCACCCTAGGAAGTAGCATGGGGAGGCGGCACTAGGTGTGACACTGAAAAGGCGTTGGTAGAGGGCAGGACAGGTGGCTGAGAGGATTGCAGCTAGGATGGACCAGGGTCAGGGGGAATGATGTGTTGGGGAGTACGAGGAAGTTCAGGAGAGACCCAAGTGAGAGTACCAGAACAAGGGGGGGCTGTGCTAGGAACAGGTTGTTGAGGGTGTGGACCACCGTAGTCCCGAATGGGTGGGGTGGGCAAAGCACATGAAGGGGTGGGTCTAGGGACCACAAGAGGATGGGCACGCTTTTTGTGGGTCACGGTGATCCATCCATCGTGGTCCGGGACAGAAGTTTCATGGCATCCAGGAGTTGCAGTCCCCTAAACAGAGATTTTGGTCATAAAAGACAGACCATAAAAGTGAAGATGAACAGACGAGGGGATAGAGTCCAAATTGAAGGATTCAACAAGAATGACTAGGCAACCTAGGGGATGAGTACCAAAGGATTTCCAATGGACAGAAACAAAACCGCCACACGAGTCCCCAATGGCCTTGAAGACCGATTTGGGACCAGAGGTGAATCGGAATGCCTTAGATGAGAAGCCAAACCTTAGTCTTACGCTCAGCATCGATGGACTCTTCCCAATTAAACAAAGACAAATGGCCCCCTCTAAAGGAGAAATTGGTCCCACAGACTCCAGGGGGGAGAAGAGCAAAGAGGGGCCTGCAGGATAATTGGTTAGACTTCAACACAGATTGGAGCCATCTAGTAATACCTTTGGTGTCATTTCTCTGAGGCGAGAAGGAAGCAAGATAAGAATTTTGTTGAGACGAAAGGCGATCAAGGATCTCTTTAGAAACTAGAAGGCGGACATGAGGAATACCATTGTAGAGCGCAAAGTATGGGAAAGAAGAAAGAATGGATGCAGACACGAAAGGAGTTTGATAAATGGATAAAACAAGGGGGGGAGGCTTGTAGTTGCTTGAGGTGACAATAACCGCGTAGGATTTCCTAGTGTCGAAATTATCAGGTTCTTCCACGGAAGGGTAGGAAGAGGGAAGGACACAAGATGGATTGATGAACTGGCAGTAGTATTGGTATAAGGGCAGGGAGGGGGGTGGGCAGGTTTAGGAAGACTCCTGTCTTGAGCCCCTGTAGGGAAAGAATCCTTCACAGGAGACTTCATTTATGATTTGCATTCTCATTTATTAACCATTGATTTTGGAAAGACAGATGTAAGAAAATGCTGCTAGCTAATCGAGCAGAACTTAAATACCAAGAAATTAAAACAACTCAAAAGAAAGACAAATTATTAATTGTAGGTAATTGAATAATAATACAACTTGTCCTGTACATAGAACCAAGTCCCATGATAAAGGCAATATATGCTTTCAAGGTTATTCTTGATTTTGTTTCTCTTAAATTGAGTGAAGCAACCCATATTGAAAAAGCTTCAAGCTCATTTTCTTGCAACCACATCCATTTATAAGAGTGACAGTTATAGATATGAGAGAATGTCATTCCCTATAGAGCAGTTCACAATAAGGATACCATGATGCTACTTCAGGTTGTAGAAGAGCTTTTGATCAATCCAATCAGGGTATTATAATCCAAAGAAAGCAAAGAATTTAAGAAGTGATAGCATAAGCCTATAAACCAAATATATCAGAAAAAGGAGACAAAAATAATAAAATTATTATTCTAATAAAATTGTCTTTCTTCACTGCATAGATGCCTCATGGGATAATAAAAAAACAAAAAATCCAAAATTAAATGGTACTCATAAATACATACCAAGTGATGTATCGGATAAGTAGTTAAGGTCCCAAAGCGTCCATTAATGCGTCCAACGATCTCATGGACTTGGCTTGTAAGCTTTTGATCTGAAAAAATATGCAAAGAACTTTTTTTTCAAAGCTTTACAAAAAAATTTATGTGAAGCTTTTGTTGCAAACATAAGCAAAATATTACGATAGAAAAAAGACGATTGACACCAAACATGCAACAGAGATACAAAATTTATTTACAATAGCAAAAATTCCGCAGATAACATAAGTTTTTGAAATAAATAAAGTATAATAACCATTAGATGATTAAAGTTGAGGCTAGTATATTGATGGTAAGATTTAACAATTTCTCACACAAACGTGTGTGCACAAGGATGAGTGAGAGAGAGAATCAAAACCTAGTGAAATACAGCAGTAGTTCATATAATATTGAAAATTTATAAACCTTCCCCACATACATATAAGCCTTTAAAAAACACCATGGACTATAATTAAAATCTTCCATATCAATTCTAAAAATAAATAAAACAGTTGGGATAACTTGACCATCAGATTTCGAAAGGGACATTAGAATTGCAGTGGGCGTCAGCAAGGTATGTAATGCAATGAATGCGCCTCAGGAACTCCCCCTAGTTGTCACTAGTTGCATCAAAATTTGGGGCATCACTGCTAAATATTTTAAGACCTCCTACTTAGGAAACTGATTGAGAAGTTTAGGGAAAAAGAAAATGGCCTCCACATGGTCTTTATTGATTCAGAGAATGCATACGATAGGGTACTTGGAGATTTAATTTGGTGGGTGTTGGAAAAGAAAGGAGTCATTTAGAGGCTATACTGACATTGTGAAAGATATATATGAGGGAATGCTAACTAGTTTGCGGATAACTAGTGGAGAGACAAGTGAGTTCTCAGTGACAATAGGCCTACATCATGGGTCAGCGCTGAGCCCATATCTCTTTGTTTTGATTATGGACAAGTTAACCAGACACCTAAAAGATGAGGTACCATGGTGTATATTGCTCATAGATGACATATTTTTTATCAATGAGACTAGAGGTGGCGTCAATACAAAGTTAGAACATTGGAGGAATAACCTATAATCTAAAGGTTTTAAAATTAGCCTGAGTAAGATAGAAATATGGAATGTAATTTTAGAAATTATAGGAGTAGAAACGAGGAAATAATTAAGATTGATATTCAAGAAATACCTCAAAGAAATTGTTTCCAATATCCAGGGCCAATAATCTAGGAGAATGAGGAGATTGAGGAAGATGTTGCACATAAAATTAAAGCTGGGTGGGCAGAGTGGATATGTACATCTGGAGTTTTATGTGATCGTCGCATACCACTGAGACTGAAGAGAAAGTTCTAGAAGAAGGCTGCAAGACCAGCCATGCTTTATGGGACAATGTTAAGCAGTCAAGAAACAACATATTCATAGGATGAACAAAACCGATATGAGGATGTTGAGATGGATGAGTACTAAGAAAAGAAACAATAGAACCTGAAAAGAACATATATAAGGGAACTCAGGTGTGGCTTCAATAGGCGATAAGATAAGGGAAGGTAAATTTAGGTGGGATATCCATGCGCAACATAGACCTAATACAACACCAATTAGGAGGTGTGATTTGATTCAAGTGGAAGGCTCTAAAAGAGTAAGAGGAAGGCCTAAAAGGAAATGGATTGAAGCAAGGAGAAGATATATAGTGACTTTTGGTCTTTCTGAGAGTCAGGCCATTGATTAAGAAGAATGGAGGAACAAGATTCAAGTAGCCAAATCCAAATAATAGGGATAAGGCTTGGATGATAATGATGATCGACAATATTTCAAGCTTTCCTAAGGGAAGAGGGTCACAAGTAAAGGTCATCATAGACTAAAAGAGAAGCTGATTCCAATGGAGCATGAGAATAAGTTGATATCGTCTTGGAACACCAATAGCAGTATCGACACATTATCTCTAGCTCATCTAGGATGGACTTTTCCAGCACCACCAAATCCTCAAATTTTTGAAGGTTCAGTTCAGCTTGATAATATTCACATAATCGAACATTTGCAACATAAGGCACTGCAAAAATGTGCGACATGTATGAGGAGGACAAAGAAATCATAACGACCTACTTGATCCGCCAACTTGTACTTCACTCTTTCAGCATCAACAGGGTCATGCTGAGGATTCCATGGACATGCTCTTGAAGGACTGGACAGAGACTTGCATCCACCTAAAGTCCAGGTTCTTTGGAAGTTATGCAATCTAGATATTTTCTCTCGAATCTAGAGAGAAAGCAACAAAAAAAAAAAGCAGTCAAATGCTCAGTTCTAAAAGAAATAAAGACATTATTGTCGTATGAAATATGCTGCCACCAAGTTTGTTGAAAGTTAATCACAATGATGTTTCAATTCACAACCCCAGTTAGTCATTTTAGGGATTGCCTTGGGGACACAATTTTCTTCTTGGGCACCTTGCATGTGCGCGATTTTCAGGAGGCAGAGGTCTGAGCCAGTTTTTCTGGATTTGAATCAGTAAGGCAGAGGGCCCAGCAATGATTATGGGAATAAGACTCATATGCCACTCTCCATCACAAATTGTGAGTCTCCATCACAAGTCACCTCCCTTTTGGACTTCACCAGCATCTTTGAAGAGGTGTTTGAGTTTGTCAATCTCTACTGGTCTCAATTTCTCGTCTCGGCTGTGAAGCAAACAAGCAGGCAAATTCATTTGCTAGCTAGGTTGTTGAATGTGTGTGTCTCTTGACTAGAGCTTCCAATCACTTTCCACAACATAGACAGTTTGTCCCTCAAAGTGTTTGCATGACTCCATGCAACAACTTGATGCTTTCTAACATAATCACATGTCAAACATTATCCATTTCCTTCTAACAAGGAAGGTACCAGCAGCCATTCGATTTTGATCCTCAAATGGATGGCATCGACTATGAGCAATTACCAAAATACTAATACATGAACCACCTAGACTGCTTTGCCCTTGCAAATGCCCAATCCTGACTCGTATGCCAAATGGATGTGAAGAACAATGTTCGCAAAATCGAACTGGAAAGGTTAACCGGACATGGGCATGGAAGCGGTTTAACCAGCCTAACCGGTAAACCGGCTGATTCAACCACTCTAACCAGGCAAGTCCTGGGCAGTCAAAAAAGTGTTGACAAAAATAAAAAAAATACAAAAAAAAAAAATTTACTAAAATATGAAAAGCATATAAAGAATGATTAAAACAAAACAGATTCCAATGAAGTTGAAAATTAATGAAAAAAATGAATTTTAACCCATTTTATATTTTCCATGGGCTATTTTTAAAACTTTCTAAAAAAAGATGGGAAAATATAAAAGTCAGTATTAATGACCAAAACAATTTTTAATCTTTACCATAATGTAAAGAATATTTAAAAATGCATTACAAATCAAATTCCTTATTTTTGAGAATTTATATACATTTTTTTGAAAAAAAAATTTAAAATACCGGTTGATCACCCTAAGCCAGAACCGCCCACTGTTCCAATCTAACCGGGCGGTTAGCAGTTAGATCGGGCGATTTTGCGAACAATGGTGAAGAACACCATTTGTTATAGCGATCTCTTCAACAAAGTATCTATGCAACAACAACATGGCTACCCAACTAATGATCCCTCACTTGTTTATTAGTTAAGGAAGGTTGTCCAGCTACAAGCAGGGATACAACTATGGAGTGTCAATTCCCAAGATCCCAAAGCTTTTCTGATGTGTCTGAGTATCATAATGTAAAGTGGCATTTCAAAGAGTTTATCTGATCATCCTCGAGTACCTAGGTGGTTCTCTTGATTCATGTCTATGATAGTTTGCTAAGTGCTGAGATGATTGAATGTCATCTTCTCAGTGAAGCAACAACTTCTTTATTCGTCTGTCACTCAATAGATGGTTCTTTCAATGATGCAAAACCAGGAGAAGAGAGGACAAAGAATATAAGGAGGACAACTTGATGAGCCCTCTTGTTGACTAAAATCAAACTTGTCCCTACCTTTGCAGCCAAATACTTAGACTCCTACTCTAAATCTAGATGCTTTTGAAGACTCCTCACCAAGTCCCCATGCATACAAAAGTCAAAACCATTCAACACTCCTCAAAGCACCTATTAAAAACACAGAATACATGGGAAACATGCAAAGAGTACCCAAACAAAGACTAATAATCTCTTCCAAATTAAATCCTACTTAATTTTTTTGACAAATTTACCCCTATTCCTAATGCAAAAAGATCTCCACTCAAGTAGTCTGAAACTCCATCAGATGATCTACAATGAATGAGTGATGAATGGATGTCATCTAACCACTGAAATGATGAAGCGAGAACATCTGAACACATTTCTAATAAAATATTCCGGTAGCTACTTCTGGGTAATGAAGTTTACTGGTTCATCATGAAAATTGTGCTTAGCCAGAAAAATAATGCTCTAGATATTATTTTCCATGTTCTCAAAGAAATTAATATCATATAAAACTGAGGAAGTTAACACAAAGGACTCGAATAAAAAGCAATTTCTTCCTAATCCCACATCATATTCATAAATTGGGTGTGTTCATCTTCCTCATAACCATGAAAGTGCATCCTTTCATAGTGCACAACTATTATCTAGTTCATATCCCCAACACAAGAGTCTTGCCTTATGTCCAACATATTATTTGCTACAACCTCTTCTATCTCCATTTCAGTTTTTTTAAGAAAAGAAAACAATTTTCTTCCCAAACTTACACGACATTCTTAAATTGGGGGTGCTCATCTTTCTCATAACTGCTCGACTGCACACTGTCAAAGTGCACAATTGTCATCCAATTAACTTCCCAAACTCAAGAGCCTTGTCTTATTATTTCCACCATATTATTTTCCACTTCTGGTCTATCTTTTTTTTCTTTTCTTTTTTTTTTCTCTTTTTTTTCTTGATACTGCAATTCAAACCCTTGACTTTGGCCTGCAGCCCTCAACTCCTAACCACCAAACCAAGTTGCTTCAGATTTGTCTAGATGCAAAGGTAAAAACCTTTTTTATTGGATATTAACTTATCTCCTAGAGAAACCTAGAGAAATGCCCATGGCAGAAGAATAAATATCTATACCAATGCAACCCCTCTGGAGCTTTATCGGACATGAGCTCTCATGTATATTTATGAAATTTTATCACCACAACCCTCCTTAACATAAAGCAATCAATTGAAAGGGCACCCGATCCAAACACCATCAATGAAAACCACATGCTCTTGAGAGGTATCTATGACATAGAAGACATTCAAATTTTATTAGCGCCTGCAACCCTCCTGTAAGTAAAGACAACATTGAGTCCCTAGAGTGGCAATTATAAACACCTACAATTCATCATACACAAAAGAACTTGCAATAGTTAATACAGATGAGCAAAACTTTTAGAAATATCAAGGGTCGGCCAAGAGATCCTTCATAAGAACAACTAGCTAAATTAATTAACAACTCAAAACCCAAGTCCCGTAACCAGATAGTCTCCAAATTTAATGATATTTGCTCCAAACAGAACTTCTGCGGGAACTCCATGAACTTCCTAAACCAGAATATATACAGCCATTAATTAGCTCTTCATATATGGCAAGTTTCCCACTAATCCAGTCAATCTCTAAAGCTCAGATCACAGATGAACACTATTGAACCTCAAGGACCAAAGTGGAGAAGAAATTAATCTGCAATTCATTGAAAAACCAACCCTTGCAACTGTCAGATTTGTCCTCATTTATCAAAGATTATATCCACGGCATCTTCATCGTATATCCACCAAAAGTAATACAAAAGTATCTATATGGAAAATGATTCACTAAATAGCATCTAAAATGTAAAAATAGCAAAAACAATATGTAAATAGCCACTAAATAGTATCGCAAAAATCTTAAAACCCCAAGAGCTCCATTCATTATTATTAAACTTAAGATTGTTCACGCAGCCCAATAATTCTTGCTAGCAAGAACGACAAATGGTCAGAAATTTGATCAAGGTTCCACAAACATGACCATACTGCATATGGGAATAAAGAACATGGCAATTTAGCAAGCAGAATGCATAACGACACATGTTCGTTGGATGTGGATATTTCCTTCCATAGATGTAGCCCTTTGCATAACAATACCTGCTCGATTTATGTGGATTTTCCTTTTTTCTCATATAAAATGTTTTAAAAAAATAAAAAACAAATAAAAAAACATAAAAAAAAAAAAACGGATCAATGACCGGGATCACCCATCCTGAAAACCGGTCCGGATTTGCCGATCAACAGTCCGGATCGGTAAATCTACCAGAGCAGCCAGATCTGACCTTAAAAAAGATTTAAGAATTTTTTTTTAGTTTCCAAGAAAAATGGGGATATGCATTATGTACTTTGATTATTTTGCAAAATACATAAATATTGAGATTCTGTTCCCTTGTCCAAATGTTTGTTGACCATTACATTAACATCATAGACATAACAGAGCATACAATCATAAGGAACTTACAAACATCATGGATATGAATACATGGTCATAAGTCGAGCATACAACTATTAAAATCAGTGTAGGAAAAATCGAACTGGAACGGTTAACCGGACATGGGGCTGAAAGCGGTTACTCGGTATTAACCGGTAAACAGGCCTATTCAAACGGCCTAACTGGGCAAGTCCCGGGAGGTCTAAATAGTGTTAAAAAAATACGAATAAAAATCTATTAAAATCTGAAAAGTATATTTAAAGCATGATTAAACAAAGAACTTCCAAATGAAATTGAAAATTAATGAGAAAAAAAAAAATTAAAGAATCAATTTGTGCTAGTGGTATTTTTAAAAATTTTCAAAAAAGATGGGAAAATGTAAAACTAAATATTAGCGGCCAAAACAATTTCCAATCTTTGCCAAAATCATGAAAACATTAAAAAATACATTACAAACAAAATCCCTTATTTTTTGGGATTTCATATAATTTTTATGAATTTTTTGTAATGTAAAAAATACATTACAAACAAAACCGGCCGAAACTGAAACCGGTCAATGGCCAGTTCCGATCTAACCGGGCGGTTCCGACTTGAACCGCCCGATTTTTCCTACTCTAATTAAAATACAACTTAATACCAAAATGGAAGATGCCGCCATTCTTCCTCCTCATCAAGTTCATGCAAATCGTTGAACTGTCTCGACAATTCATTGAGTCAACTAATGTAAACATAATTACATTAACATAATTTTACCGTGATCATATTGACATAACTTTAACATAATTATATTAATCAAGTGTTGGACACAACACCTAATTTCCAACTTAAGATACTTGACAATAGCCTGTGCAACTAATTGCCAATATCAAGATGCTTGTTAATGAACCAGCATTCATAAGCAATCCCAAGTATTAGAATTGCATTTATGGACAAAACGGAACTCTGACCTATTTAGGAAGGTCACTAGAACTACCTTTTAACATGAGTAACTACTCATTGTCTTTTTCTCTTTCTTTTTTTCTGTTTTTTTTTTTTTTTTGAAAGGGTTACATAGGAATGGAACTTGAGACGTAGTGCTATGAAAACCCAACTACTACCGCCTTGACCCAAGCCCGATTTCTGAGTAACTACTCATTGTCAACCTTCAAACCATGAACATTTATATCTGTGAGATGCATTAAGGAAGAGAAAACTCTTAACCACATCTCAATCAATAAACTAGAGAACCAACTTAACAATATTAACAATTTAACATACTACTAACAAAATCATGATGGAATCCCAACGCGACATGCCACATTAAAATTTGGCATGTCGATTAAGTTCAAAGGATAAACTTTAAAAGAAATAATGTTAAATGAAGTTTTAAGTGTCAAAATCTGAAGTCTCACTGAGGCTAATGAACTATTAAATTTAAAATACTATCTATAAAGATCTAAAAAATAGTCATTCTGACTTGTTTGAAATAAGTTTTTGGGCCAACAAATGCTTTAGCACGGAATCCTCAAACATTTTCTATCATCAATCGGAGGACATAATTCATCTGTTATAAGAAGCCTACACTCAGGCACATCTGTCCGTGTGGGCACAGCTATTTGCAACAAAACTACTTTATCACGCCACTCTGGACTTTCCTCGAGGAACTTTTCAAAGGCCAGTATCTTTTGAGGAATTCCTTTTATCATGTCAAGACGATCAACACCCAACATTACCTGCCCCAAGAGAAGAACCATAAGTTTTTTCAAATGTTTTTTTTCTATAGATAAGAGAATATTAATGCATTTGAGAAGTACAAAATACATATTGCCATCTGAGAGTGCAAACAAAAGTTAATCTGCAGTATTAGGAAAAATCCATAAAGTTCCAAAACAAATTGCAAATTTTCTTTTCCACCTTAGACAATCACCAAATAGCCATTAGTGATGAGAAACTTGTATCCATGTCCATGGGTATTCACGCAATATAAAAAAGCATTAAATCTTGAGGATTTATTTGAGAGAAATGCAACAAAAATAGTTTCAAAGATGGTCCCCTAATCATTACAATAGGTGCCAATCGTGCCTCCCATCATTGTGAAAGGATCCTCGAAATTCTTCCACAACTAGGTCTAGAAGATCCAAGCTCTTGAAATTTTCGGCCAAAGAGTTTTGTGTACCCAAAATCTTGCAAATCTGAGATTTCAATGGGTTTTCTGTGGAAATTAAGCCTTTGATTAGAGAACTTAAAAATAGGCTTCGGGAAGAAATTTCAACAAAGATGGAGCTAGGGTTGTGAAGAAATCAAAAGCTTTCGAAATTTGGCCATATCCTAGTTCGAAGATCAAAATCTCCCATAGAATATGATCATTTCAATATCTAGACGATGAAACATATATGCTTAAACCTCAAATTTCATGGTAAATGGATCAGCTGTTGAAGAGATTCGTCGGACTCAAAAAGGCTGACAAACTTAGAGAGTTTATCAAAAACCCACAGAGTTTAACACTTTAACCTAACTAATCCACATCAGAACAGTAATCTATACAAGCATGTGAATAGTGCCTCCCTGAACAAGGAGGAGCTTTCGGCCTCGGCAGCCCTGCAGAGAGAGCATAAGTAACTCAGGCAAGTCTAGACCGGAATCTCTATCTTTAACAGTGATTATCAAGACCAGACCAGATCAACCAATAATTGGCCTATCTATTCCAAGGAAAAGGCCACACTTGGTCATAAACAGACAAATACCGGTCAACAAACTAAATTTTGACAAGTTTTAGCTAGTCTGACTAGCTGGTTCTGACAAATTGTACCAGGCAAGCAAGGTTGGGAGAATCTATCTTTTAATATATCTCGTAGTTTTGAGTTATTTTCCCTTTTTTTCTTTATTTTGTAAAAATTCAGTCCAACAACAATCATATCAATTTTTACTGGATAGCATCCATCACTATTCCAGTGGCTGGTCTGGTTCCGATAACACTCCTCATAAAGATTAAGCAGGAGCATCCTTTCATTGCAAACTGAAAGCATAGCTTGGATGTATGGGTATTTTGTTTGCTAGGAGAGCCTACAAGATACCACATTATCTTCAAGCTTTGAAGCCAATATTAAACATGCCATCCATAAATTAGAAGTTGACCAAGATGAGATATCTCATGACTAATCTACATTCAATAGCACACATTCGAGACCACGTTATGTGAACAAAGTCAATGCCTATTTCCCCAGATCCAGTCTTCCATGACAGTACCAAACATAGAGAGGTACGTTTGTCACTTTGTTTAAGCATATACACAAGATGGATTAGTTTTGAATGCCTGCTGGTAGATGTCTCATAAAAATCCCTAAGACAAGTTTAAGCTATTGATAGGAAAGATAGAGAGTTATTAGTGTCCTTTCCACATTGTAGAAGAAGCCATAAATGCCAAGTAAAAACAAGTTTAAGCCGTTCATATGAAGCTAAGAATGATCATTGTCCATTCCAAAGTGTTGGAGAAATGTAAAATTTTTTATTTAGAATTATCTATCTTGCTCTTTCAAAAATTCCATTAACCAATCTATAGTATTTTTTTTAATTTCAAATGAGCACAATTATGACACTTTACCTCATCTATAAATTAGCTCTTACAGCCCATATCACTTAGGACTGAAAATTAGAGTTTCCTCTCTATGCCACATTTCTTCTCTTCCACATATTTGTCAATTGTTCAGCAACACCTCTAACTCCAAACCTAATGCCATAGAGCACCTTGTATATTCCTTCAACTCACCCCCGTTAAAATGTTTGTGAAGATCACTAGAGGGGAAGACAAAAAATCCAAGTGTATGCAAATCATTTCAAATTTGATAGATGGCTTGATTCAATTTTATTTTTTTTAAATTCAAACTCAGGGACATGGACGGGTTTTTTTGTTTATTATTCCTTAATTTGGGGATCAAAGATGAGAGGGGCAAACTGGGTTTTTCTTAATTGTTATGAGGTATACTTCTTTTTTTTGGATTAGCATGAGAATTTCCATGGTTTAGCAGGTTTTTCCTTTTTGAAGTTGGGATTGATGTGATTTGCTTACCGAAGAGAAGTCCAAAGTTAGTGGTTCAAGGAAGGAGAGGACCTGGGTTATATTGTATCTAGAGAGGGAGTGTGTGGATGAGAGAATAAAACGGGGGCAGCTTTTATATTATTTATTTTCTTACTTTGGAGTGGTTTGTATAAAAGGGAGAACTCTCAGGCCACCCAATGAGGCTTTTGTTTTGGAATTAAAATTGTCTTGTTTATAGAATTGATAGAATATTTCTTCTCCTTTAATTTAAGCGTGTTCTTACTCCATTGTGTTGCTGATTTTTGCTTGTTTAATGATTGAAAAGATGGTGGGCTCAGCCTCCCATCTTCCTCTCACACCAGTTTAATATTGAAGACGGTTAGAGAATACAATGGCTAGTTGTTTAGGTCATGACCATTGGATAGCCATGCTGGATTAGAGGAGCGAGCGAGTCACAAAGATCATCGCAAGGCTCCTGCATGTGCAAGATCAACAACAGCATGCCACAAAAGAACAGAGTTTCACAGTGTTGGATCCAAATCATAAATGTCTTAATAGAGAATAGCACAAATCGGAATCCGCATCCGAATAAGAGCGGGCAGATGATGTGTCTGAACATCTAGTTGTCTTCGATGCATGATGGCATTGATCAGAGTGTGGGAATTGACCACCCCGAGGCTGACTAGCATAGGGGCACGAACAAGGAGGAATTGCATGATGGGCGTTGAGATAAGCGAAGATATGAGCACAGAGAATCTGATTCAAGTACTAATGTTGATCTCCCTAAGCTTTATGGAAATGTTTACTCCAAAGAGGTTTCAGACTGGTTGACCACAGTTGAGCGCTTCTGTAAATGGAAAGACTTGTACATTCAAAGAAAGTCAAACTCAGGGCTCCTAAATTTAGGGGATATGCATTAGTGTGGCGGGACAAGTTCAAGAAGAACGACTTTGAATGAGCAAAGATAAAAACCAAGATTGAAGGCAAGATTACAAAAGCAATTCTCCATCAAGCTATGCACAGACATTATACCAAGAATTTCATAGTTGCATCAAGGTAAGAAATCAGTATGGGAGTATATGGAGGAGCATTATTGTTTAGCCCTATGCAAAAGGTTAGCAAAGACCGAGGACCAAAAGGTGGTTTGTTATGTTTCAGGCAGTGTTAAAAAAGGCTCCCCGCGCCCACATCGATGTCTAGGCAGGCTAAGGCCCTAAGTTAGGTCGCCACCTAGGGCTGAGGTGTTTCTAGGTGCGTGCAACACCTAGCACCTCAGTCAAGGTGGGCACCTTCACCCCCTCTCTTCTATATATATAAATGTGTGTGTGTGTGTGTGTGTGTGTGTGTGTGTGGTTAGAATACTTTTAATATAGATTATGTAATCCTTTTCTTTTTTGGGGCCCCTGACCGCCTAGGCAGCTGCCTCCACCATTTTGAACATTGGTTTCAAGGCTAGGAGTTCAATCCAAGATCAATTCATGCTACACCATATGCCACGGTTGGCTACTGCCTATCAATCTGCCTTGAAGGTGAAGGAAAAGCAAAGAAAAGAGGAAGCCACACACCGATCCATCCCCAGGCAGGATCATCACAATTAGGAGGCCTACGCCTCTAGCCCGGGGAGTTTCAGCTATTAAAGATAACCCAGTTACTGGAACAGGAGCTCGAATTCTAGCCAAAGAGGCTATTTGGTCTGAGGTGTTTCTGGTGTAATGAGGTGGGGTATCGAGCTACAAAGTGTTAGTTTCCTACAACCCAGCACCACATTAATTTGGTGGAACTGAATATGACACCGAATAGAGATAAACCGCAAAAAAAACCCAACGTCTCCAGTTGAAGACGAGGCTGAGATGATGATCAAGTGAATGGGGAAGTTGCTGATCAAGGTGAGACCTTGCCAATTCGATGTGTTCTCTCATTGCCACATGAAGGGGCTGACTAAGAAATACTATATATGTGGGTGAAATGGCAAAGTACGCAATATCATAATCAACAACGGCAATTGCAAGAATATGGTCTTGCAAGAGATGTGACGCAGTTGGAAATTCAGTGGCGACTAACACCCGGAAAAATCAACTGCATTTTAGAGAGAAATAAAAACCGAGAAAGAAATCGCAAGCAGAAGAAACAAACATGCGGATCTGAGTCGTCCACTACGAGCCCACAAGCACAAGAGAAGGAAAAAACACCCACAAAGGGCCTTTCTCTCTCTACAAAAAACACTTTATTTCATTAATATTCCCCCTTACAATGGGATGTCCACCCCTCTTTTATCATTGTTTCTCTAACCTCCTTTCCTTATCTTTCTAAAACAAATTGTTATCTTCTTAAAGATTTGCTTTCTAAAAAAAACCTCTTATCCTACCTCCTACAAAAAACATACTCATTATCTTATTTTCTTTTAAAACAAGATTCCAAACAAAAAAATACCCAAATCGTAAGGACTCCAATAAATGCTTACTAAAAAATAGGACTCAACTTTTTCCTATGCAGATCCAGGTCAGATGGATTCAGTATTTTTTATTATTCTCAAATTTTGTGGACTTAATTATTTCTTTATTTTTATGAGTGTATTTTGCATTTCATTTTTATTTTATTAGAGTTCATTTTTAGAAATAGGATTAGTATTGTTTTCTTGGTTTAGTTTAATAAAGTCTACATTTTAAGAAGTATGTTTTTTTCTTATGAAAATTAAGT